TTGTATGTATTTTTGTCCTCAAGCATCTGTTTCATCTGTTGTTTATATTTTTCTCTGTCCATAACTACTGTGGTTCTTCCTTTGTCTGCCAGTAGAATAATTATCTGTTCACTTTTGGATAAAGCTGTCATGGCTGATTGTTCTTCTTTTGTAATAGTGCTGTGTTGAATTTGGCAGTTTTTTTAAATATCCCAACTACATTAATTCTGCGTTCTGCTTTCTTTCCCTCATCTGTGATCTGTTGACATGCTAGTTCTGTTCAGATATTGTCTCATTGCATGTTGACACGACGATTAAAAAGTAAAATTAATTGGTCAAAGTTACGAGATACTGTAGCCTATTTTGAATGTAAACAGCTAGCGAGGGTCTGTCCGTGGCAGGAGAGGCAGTTAGCTACAATGCGAAAACAAAAAGTTCCTTTGCTAAATTTAGAAAGTCTACATACTTCTGCTTTGAGCCCGTTTTTTTTTTTCTTCCACCTTCCTCTCAGTTAGTAGACGCCATATTGGCAGGTAAAAGAAGCTAAACAAACACGGATCTTAACCATGAACGTGAACGGGATCGGCTTGGATTTTACTTCGTCTGAGTTTACTTCACACTTTAAAACCGAAGAAATCGTTTTATATAGTCAGAAATTAAATAGACTAAACATCTCTGACCCTTACCGTGCCCCTGGGATCGTCTCGTCTCGTCTTCCTCCGCTTATCCGGGTCCGGGTCGCGGGGGCAGCATCCCAACTAGGGAGCTCCAGGCCGTCCTCTCCCCGGCCTTGTCCACCAGCTCCTCCGGCAGGACCCCAAGGCGTTCCCGGACCAGATTGGAGATGTAACCTCTCCAACGTGTCCTGGGTCGACCCGGGGGCCTTCTGCCGGCAGGACATGCCCGAAACACCTCCCCGGGGAGGCGTCCAGGAGGCATCCTGACCAGATGCCCAAACCACCTCAACCGGCTCCTTTCGATCCGGAGGAGCAGCGGTTCTACTCCGAGTCCCTCCCGAATGTCCGAGCTCCTCACCCTATCTCTAAGGCTGAGCCCGGCCACCCTACGGAGGAAACTCATTTCGGCCGCTTGTATCCGCGATCTCGTTCTTTCGGTCATTACCCAAAGCTCATGACCATAGGTGAGGATTGGGACGTAGATCGACCGGTAAATCGAGAGCCTGGCTTTCTGGCTCAGCTCCCTCTTCCCCACGACAGATCGGCTCAGCGTCCGCATCACTGCAGACGCCGAACCAATCCGCCTGTCGATCTCCCGATCCCTCCTACCCTCACTCGTGAACAAGACCCCGAGATACTTAAACTCCTCCACTTGAGGTAGGACCTCTCCCCCGACCCGGAGGTGGCAAGCCACCCTTTTCCGGTCGAGAACCATGGTCTCAGATTTGGAGGTGCTGATCCTCATCCCAGCCGCTTCACATTCGGCCGCGAACCTACCCAGCAAGAGCTGAAGGTCAGAGCTGGATGAAGCTAGGAGGACCACATCATCCGCAAAAAGCAGAGACGAGATTCTCCTGCCACCAAACTCGACACACTCCACACCACGGCTGCGTCTAGAAATTCTGTCCATAAAAGTGATGAACAGAACCGGTGACAAAGGGCAGCCCTGGCGGAGTCCAACCCTCACTGGGAACAGGTCCGACTTACTACCGGCTATGCGGACCAAACTCACGCTCCTCTGGTAAAGGGACTGAATGGCCCTTAACAGAAAGCCACCCACCCCATACTCCTGGAGCGTCCCCCACAGGGTGCCCCTGGGGACACGGTCATAAGCCTTCTCCAAATCCACAAAGCACATGTGGATTGGTTGGGCAAACTCCCATGCCCCCTCCATCACCCTTGCAAGGGTATAGAGCTGGTCCACAGTTCCACGGCCAGGACGAAAACCACATTGCTCCTCCTCTATCTGAGATTCAACTATCGATCGGACCCTCCTCTCCAGTACCTTGGAGTAGACCTTTCCAGGGAGGCTGAGGAGTGTGATCCCCCTATAGTTGGAACACACCCTCAGGTCACCCTTCTTAAAGATGGGGACCACCACCCCGGTCTGCCACTCCCTAGGAACTGCCCCCGATGACCACGCAATGTTGTAGAGACGTGTCAACCATGACAGCCCTACAACATCCATAGCCTTGAGATACCCAGGACGAACCTCATCCGCCCCCGGGGCTCCGCCGCTGTGTAGTTGTTTGACTACCTCAGCAACTTCTGCCCCCGAGATCGGACAGTCCATCCCCAGGCGTGGGAGGAGTTTGGTGAGGCCATGGAGAAAGACTATCGATCGGCTCCAAAGAGGTTCTGGCAAACTGTCCGGCGCCTCAGGAGAGGAAGGCAGCAACTCGCTCACACTGTTTACAGTGGGGATGGGGAGCTGCTGACGTCAACTGAGGCTATAGTCGGACGGTGGAAGGAATACTTTGAGGAGCTCCTCAATCCCACCAATGCGCATTCCGAGGAGGAACCAGAGCTGGGAGGCCTGGGGATGGACTGTCCGATCTTGGGGGCAGAAGTTGCTGAGGTAGTCAAACAACTACACAGCGGCGGAGCCCCGGGGGCGGATGAGGTTCGTCCTGGGTATCTCAAGGCTATGGATGTTGTAGGGCTGTCATGGTTGACACGTCTCTACAACATTGCGTGGTCATCGGGGGCAGTTCCTAGGGAGTGGCAGACCGGGGTGGTGGTCCCCATCTTTAAGAAGGGTGACCTGAGGGTGTGTTCCAACTATAGGGGGATCACACTCCTACGCCTCCCTGGAAAGGTCTACTCCAAGGTACTGGAGAGGAGGGTCCGATCGATAGTTGAATCTCAGATAGAGGAGGAGCAATGTGGTTTTCGTCCTGGCCGTGGAACTGTGGACCAGCTCTATACCCTTGCAAGGGTGATGGAGGGGGCATGGGAGTTTGCCCAACCAATCCACATGTGCTTTGTGGATTTGGAGAAGGCTTATGACCGTGTCCCCAGGGGCACCCTGTGGGGGACGCTCCAGGAGTATGGGGTGGGTGGCTTTCTGTTAAGGGCCATTCAGTCCCTTTACCAGAGGAGCGTGAGTTTGGTCCGCATAGCCGGTAGTAAGTCGGACCTGTTCCCAGTGAGGGTTGGACTCTGCCAGGGCTGCCCTTTGTCACCGGTTCTGTTCATCACTTTTATGGACAGAATTTCTAGACGCAGCCGTGGTGTGGAGTGTGTCGAGTTTGATGGCAGGAGAATCTCGTCTCTGCTTTTTGCGGATGATGTGGTTCTCCTAGCTTCATCCAGCTCTGACCTTCAGCTCTTGCTGGGTAGGTTCGCGGCCGAATGTGAAGCGGCTGGGATGAGGATCAGCACCTCCAAATCTGAGACCATGGTTCTCGACCGGAAAAGGGTGGCTTGCCACCTCCGGGTCGGGGGAGAGGTCCTACCTCAAGTGGAGGAGTTTAAGTATCTCGGGGTCTTGTTCACGAGTGAGGGTAGGAGGGATCGGGAGATCGACAGGCGGATTGGTTCGGCGTCTGCAGTGATGCGGACGCTGAGCCGATCTGTCGTGGGGAAGAGGGAGCTGAGCCAGAAAGCCAGGCTCTCGATTTACCGGTCGATCTACGTCCCAATCCTCACCTATGGTCATGAGCTTTGGGTAATGACTGAAAGAACGAGATCGCGGATACAAGCGGCCGAACTGAGTTTCCTCCGTTGGGTGGCCGGGCTCAGCCTTAGAGATAGGGTGAGGAGCTCGGACATTCGGGAGGGACTCGGAGTAGAACCGCTGCTCCTCCGGATCGAAAGGAGCCAGTTGAGGTGGTTTGGGCATCTGGTCAGGATGCCTCCTGGACGCCTCCCCGGGGAGGTGTTTCGGGCATGTCCTGCCGGCAGAAGGCTCCCGGGTCGACCCAGGACACGTTGGAGAGGTTACATCTCCAATCTGGTCCGGGAACGCCTTGGGGTCCTGCCGGAGGAGCTGGTGGACAAGGCCGGGGAGAGGACGGCCTGGAGCTCCCTAATTGGGATGCTGCCCCCGCGACCCGGACCCGGATAAGCGGAGGAAGACGACGACGACAAGAACCCCCAGTCCGGACGCCCCGGACAGAGAGTGAAAAGTGGACATGTCCGGGGAAAACAGGACGTATGGTCACCATAGTCCTCATAAAGCGGGAGATTACATATACAGTATTTTGCTCGTGCCCTTGCTGCCCTGGGCCCTTTAGAGTTCGTGGGCCCTGGGAAATAGCCCAGTTGTCCATATGGTTAATCCAGCCTTGGCGGGAACGTGCACAGTGTTGGATAAGTCGCCTCTTTTGTGTCTCCTCTGTCTGTGCTGACGGGGCTGAATGCGCTGTGCGTCTCACGGCAGCGATGCACCTTTGGCGTGAAATGCGGACCTTCATGGAGCGCGTGTCCGACGTATCGGGAGTGGCTGCGCTGTGCATGGACTGTGGATGGCTGATGTTGGAGGGACAGATATTTTTTTTTAGAACTCGGAGATTTCGACAAATTAATGACCCGATAAATTACCACTGCGCACTGCCTAGAAAAAAGTATTTAAAAAAGGTATGCCGAGAGGTCACAGAGTTTGAAGTGCATGTTGCTGCAAACCAAACCGACATAAAGCACAGCTTTCAGTTCATATATTTAGACTTTCAGTCCATAAATTCAAACTTTGGTCTGTCTGTATGTATGTATGTATGTATATATATATATATATATATATATATATATATATATATATATATATATATATATATAAAGGAATAAAGGAATCTGATCTGATCGCTGAAATTAAATCTCAATAAATGTAAATAATCTCACAACATAAATCAAGCAATGATCTGATGGTGACTGAGTTCAACAGGAAGTCTGGATGACATTTTTTTTCAGAGAAACAGTTACAGACCTGGCTCACTCTCAGGTTTGAATCCTCTGGAGAAGTTTCAGGTCCACACATTTGTCTCAGTCACTCGATGTTTAATTTCCAACTCTCTGCATGATTCCTGTTGTGTGAAACATTCAGTGAGCTGTGAATGTTGCCTCCAGGTGTTCAGTCGTCCTACAACACCTGGCTGGGGCTGAGTCTGGCGCTGCTGTCGGCCTTCCTGATTGGTGGCAGTGTCATTCTGAAGAAGAAGGCTCTCCTTCGATTGGCCAGCAATGGACACACCAGAGCAGGTGGGAGCGATAGGTGTTGTAGGTAAAGAAGTTCAAATGTCCGACAGCTTCAAGTTGGAACATAAATCAAAGTAAAAGTTGGTTAAACTGGTCAGATCTAAAAACGGTACCAGATCTGCTCGCAGCGTATGTCTACCGATGACATCACAATACAGCAACACCACTCGGACAAACCTCATCACATAACCAGCGAAGCACTAACATTTGTACCAGACTGCCAACATCACTGCTCCCAGAACAATTCATGTATATTTGTTTTGGCATGTTTGTATTTATACGGTTTCTGCTGTTTCCTACGTCATTTGTTCTTGTGTTGATGCTAGTTGTTAATTAAAGTTAATTTAAAGAGCAAGTCAGCCCCTACCCGAGTCTTAAGCCTAGGGCACTCCGGAGACGGACGCGCTGCAGATCTGGTACCCGGACACTTTGGCTGCACCTGCTAGAGCCTAAATGTTGTTGTTGAAGGATTTTAACCCAGAGGAGGTGGGAGTCTTCGGATCACCGTGCTTCTGTCAGGGTGTAATTTAGGAGATGTGTAACAAGGTTCTGTTTTTGTGTTTTACAGGAGATGGGGGCCATGGATACCTGAAGGATGGTCTTTGGTGGGGTGGCCTGCTCACCAGTAAGCCCAGTTTAGAGATAAAAGCTCCAGAATTATCCTGCTTTATTCAGAACAAGCCAGCTACGTTATTTAAGTTTAATGTAGTAGAAAATCTGGGTGAAAATATGTCTTTGATATGTAACACACTGACCAGAACAGAACCACAATCCTTGCTGCCATCATCGGCTCCTCTCTAAGCCCGAATCACACTGCGGTTTTCGGCCGTTGAACAGGATTGTTCATGTCACACTTGTGAGAACTCCAGGAAGGTGGCTCACTGTACGGCGCCAGATTTCAGTAAGTCAGACTGCACGACTTCTCGCTCCAGCAGGGCACGCTGCATCAGGAGCGCACCTCCCAAAGCATTCGTCACCAAAAAAAGCTGTTCCTCATCCAGAGAATATTTTTACTCAGTCAGTAATGATGTCTGTGGAGAATCGGCTTAATCACATAACTGCTGTTAGAGCCTATAAAGACACCTGTGACTAGGGATGGGGACCGAGTTCGGTACTTTTTAAGACACCGACCGAATTCCATAGAACCGACTGAGTACCGATTCACGTCATATAAAATTGTGCCTTGTAGTACGCCGCTGCAAGAGCGTAACATCGTCAGTCACTGTGGGCGAGCTGTAAACAAAGCAGAGAGGAAATGTGTTTGGGTCCGCTTCACTAAGTGGGATGGGTAACTGGGTGATGATGAAACCAGCAACAACAATCTAACTGAGACATCATCATCGTAATCTGCTCCGGTAGGTAAATCAAATGTCTAAGATAACGTTAGCTTGATAGTTTAGTTTTTGTTTACATAGCTAATGCTCGCTTTCTCCTCAGAAAATCCAACTTCCGAGTAGAAACAACAAACAGTTTGAAAAAGAACGGCAAAAGGAATAGAGAAACACAACAAATGTAGTTCACAGCAGAGATGTTTGCTTCAGTGTAATTAGCAGTTTATAAAACTACAAGGACCCACCATCTTGTTTATAAAACTACAAGGACCACCATCACACAGTTTATAAAACTACAAGGATCCACCATCTTACAGTTTATAAAACTACAAGGACCAACCATCACAGAGGGTGTGTCCGAATCCACGGGAAGGATGCTTGTAAGAGTGCATTTTGAGGTCGATGACGTCAGTGCAGCGACGAGTACTGTCCGAATTCCAAGAATACTCATTCTTGCAGTCTCAAATGCGTCCTCGCTCCGCCCATATTTTGAGGACGGGTCTGTTGTATCCTCACAGAACAAGGCTATCCCAGCATGCTTTGCACGCCAGCTGTGGATTTTAAACAGGAAGAGAAAATGGGGAGAGCAACGAAGTTTTAAACGTAAGTTTGTTAAAAACTAGCTGTAGAAACCTAAAAAGCTTAAAGCAGTTCAGTTTATAGACATTTTTCGTTTGTATATTTGTTTTTAAAATTACATTTTAGGCAGAAATCAGCCAGAACGAGTTTGTTTCGTGGGTCCCAGTTATTCCTGTGTGTGTGTGTGTGTGTGTGTGTGTGTGTGTGTGTGTGTGTGTGTGTGTGTGTGTGTGTGTGTGTGTGTGTGTGTGTGTGTGTGTGTGTGTGTGTGTGTGTGTGTGTGTGTGTGTGTGTGTGTGTGTGTGTGTGTGTGTGTGTGTGTGTGTGTGTGTGTGTCGAATTAAACTTGTCATTTGTTTTAAAGACAACAGAGCGAAGAAGCGTTTTTATTAAGCTTAGAGGTGAAGAGTGAAGCCATTTACACACAACCACAGAAGTTCTTCTGTGTTCTGCTGTGAAAAGTAGTTTTACATTCGGGGATTTACACAGCTGACACGTTATAATGAAGTAAAAATTGTTTGTGTGAAGAATATAATTTTTATCTTATGTGGATAAATGTAAAAATGTGTTTATTGCCTTTTTGTCACCTGTGGTCTCTAAATTTTCTCTGTAGGACTGCAGGTGTCCAGGGTCAGGAGAGGCTTTACCTGGTGGTCCTCCTGGGAGAGAGGCCTTCTACTGTCATCATGTTAATGTTATTTAGCTGTTTGATATTTGAACACATTTATTAAAACAAATTCTAACTGATAACTCTTTCTGGTCATTGGTTTTATCACCAGTTTTATTATTACAGATGTTTTTTGAACATGTTACATGAACAGAAAATGAAAAGATGGTAAGGAGACAAGATTATTTATAATACGTTACACTTATTTACAGATCAAAACCAGCATGGACCAGTTATGTGCGGTTAAAGCAGGATTAACCTGAGTGACTCTTCCTGGATCATTTATTTAAACTGAGTGAGCAGGAAGTCTTTAACAGTGCAGCTGAATCTGCTGCAGGAGGATCCAGACGTGGATGGAGGGCTGGAGCAGACCCGTGGCTGGACGTTTCTGGTCAGAGGAACATCATACAGGACGGTCTGCAGAGAGAGCTGAAAACGGTTGTGAACAAACGCTGCTGATGGACGTGAAGCTGCTGTAGCTCCTTAATGTTCCTGCTTGATTTTCGCTAGCTTTAGCATTTTTCCTTTGCGTGTAGCTGCCGCCACGGCTGTGATGGGACCTACGGGCCACCGTAGAGGTGAAGGCTAGTCTGTCCGAATTCAGAGCCGCTGGGTTCTGGTCTTAGCGGTCTAGCAAGGACCCGGCCTTGCTAGACCGGCGAAGACTCGTACTCATAAGCATCCTACCCGTGGATTCGGACACACCCACATTTTATAAAACTACAAGGATCCACCATTTTACAGTTGGTCCAGAGGAGAAAGGAGAGAAGGAGTACATGGAGTTGGTTTAGTTTGTGAAACACCACAATATTAAAGTACAAATTGTTGTATGGTGTCTAAGTTTGTTTAGTTTCATGGTCTCCTCATCAGAGTTATTCCAGAGGGATTAGAAGAGGATTAGGAGTCCATGGAGCTTGGTTTGTTTTGCCTAATTTAGAAACAGTTGTTAAAGTTTTTCATGTTGAAGAATTTTGTAAAAGTATCAAAAATTTTTACCGTTAAGTACCTGTATCGATTCATAGGTACCGGGAATTGGTACCGTATCGATTCAGATGTCAAAGGTACCCATCCCTACCTGTGACCAACTAGAATCTGATATTATAACGTGGCTGGTGTGGTGTTATTAGAGGATTTGGCAGAGCGTGAACTCCAGAGGGGGTGTGTCTCAGTGAGCCCACTGAAAAGCAGCCTGGCAAGTCATCCTATATATGTGAGTACAGGTGCTGGCCAGTAAATTAGAATATCATCAAAAGGTTGAAAATATTTCAGTAATTCCATTCAAAACGTGAAACTTGTACATTATATTCATGCAATGCACACAGACCAATGTATTTCCAATGTTCATTACATTTAAATTTGATATTTATAGGTGACAACCAATGAAAACATCAAATCTGGTATCTCAGAAAATTAGAATATTCTAAAGGCCAATGAAAAAATGTTTGTTTCTCTAATGTTGGCCAACTGAAAAGAATGAACATGAAAAGAATGTGCATGTATAGCACTCAATACTTAGTCGGGGCTCCTTTTGCCTCAATAACTGCAGTAATGCGGCGTGGCATGGACTCGATCAGTCTGTGGCACTGCTCAGGTGTTATGAGAGCCCAGGTTGCTCTGATAGTCGTCTTCAGCTCCTCTGCATTGTTGGGTCTAGCGTATTGCATCCTCCGCTTCACAATACCCCATAGATTTTCTATGGGGTTAAGGTCAGGCGAGTTTGCTGGCCAATCAAGGACAGGGATACCATGGTCCTTGAACCAGGTGCTGGTGGTTTTGGCACTGTGTGCAGGTGCCAAGTCCTGTTGAAAGGTGAAGTCTGCATCCCCATAAAGTTGGTCAGCAGCAGGAAGCATGAAGTGCTCTAAAACTTCCTGGTAGACGGCTGCATTGACCCTGGACCTCAGGAAACAGAGTGGGCCAACACCGGCAGATGACATGGCACCCCACACCATCACTGACGGTGGAAACTTTACACTGGACCTCATGCAACGTGGATTCTGTGCTTCTCCGCTCTTCCTCCAGACTCTGGGTCCTTGATTTCCAAAGGAAATGCAGAACTTGCTTTCATCAGAAAACATAACTTTGGACCACTCAGCATCAGTCCAGTCCTTTTTGTCCTTGGCCCAGGCGAGACGCTTCTTGCGCTGTTTCTTGTTCAAGAGTGGCTTGACACACGGAATGCGACACCTGAATCCCATGTCTTTCATGAGTCTCCTCGTGGTGGTTCTTGAAGCGCTGACTCCAGCTGCAGTCCACTCTTTGTGGATCTCCCCCACATTTTTGAATGGGTTTGTCGTCACAATTCTCTGCAGGGTGCGGTTATCCCTAGAGCTTGTACACTTTTTTCTACCACATTTTTTCCGTCCCTTCGCCTGTCTGTTAATGTGCTTGGACACAGAGCTCTGCGAACAGCCAGCTTCTTTAGCAATCACCTTTTGTGTCTTGCCCTCCTTGTGCAAGGTGTCAATGATTGTCTTTTGGACAGCTGTTAAGTCAGAAGTCTTCCCCATGATTGTGGTGCCTTCAAAACAAGACTGAGGGACCTTTTAAAGGCCTTTGCAGGTGTTTTGAGTAAATCAGCTGATTAGAGTGGCAGCAGGTGTCTTCTATATTCAGCCTTTTCAGAATATTCTAATTTTTTGAGATACCAAATTTGGAGTTTTCATTAGTTGTCACTTATGAATATCAAATTTAAATGTAATGAACATTGGAAATACATTGGTCTGTGTGCATTGCATGAATATAATGTACAAGTTTCACGTTTTGAATGGAATTACTGAAATATTTTCAACCTTTTGATGATATTCTAATTTACTGGCCAGCACCTGTATATAGTAAGGCCACGATCGATTAGCCTGGCCTGCCAGACTCGCCCTCTGTCACCACAGTAGTCTGGTAGCTCACAGGCAGAGAGGTATGAGGGGCGGGACTAGCCAGCTCAAAAATAACCAATCAGAAATGTGACTGTACCGCTGTCAGAGCTGTCATTTTTTAGCTGTAGTCAAAAATGGCATCTGACGATGGCGCAGATTTAAGTCACAGACTTTTACGTGCTTCTTTTGCTCCGCCCACATGTTTGGAGAGTTCCGTGTTCCTCAGAAGTGAGTGTGAAAGAAAACCCCACTATTAAACACTCACTTATAGTTTATCAGCAAAAGCTTCTTTAGAGGTGACTCGCTCTTTTAAACAAGAATCTGACCTGAGATCAGTCTGAGCTTCTTCCTTACCAGCATATTTAATAATTGTACTCCCATCATACTTTGACACATATTTGTTTATAGAATAGACAACGAAGAGCTCTCTGGTTGTGATCCGGTCGACAAACACCTCTCTGTTGTGTCCTGTTAATCAGGAACTCTAAAGTCCACCCAAGTAAGTTGTTGCTCAAATCAAACGGTTCTGCAAGCCTTTCTGTCAGCATATGGGCCTGAATGGTATTGAAAATCGATGCAAAATCCACATAAATAAGTTGGACATGTGACCTTTAAGTCTAGGCATTTGAAAGGCACATCCAACAATGTGCCTGTTGCATCCTCTATTCCCCTGTTGGGCCGACAAGCGAACTGAAGAGGATCCAGTATAAATAATCTGCTGGATCTCAGCTCTTTCTCCTGTCTGCAGTGGGAGCCGGGGAAGTGTGTAACTTTGCTGCCTACATGTTTGCTTCGGCCACCCTGGTGACTCCGCTGGGTGCTTTGAGCGTCCTCATCAGGTAAGTACCTCAAGTCAGAGGTCACACAAACCGAACCGGCTGACGGGAACCGTAACGTCAGAAATCTGATCAGACATGTTTTGTGTCTTAGTGCAGTTCTGTCCTCCTACCTGTTGGGGGAGGTGTTGAACATGGTGGGGAAGCTTGGCTGTTTCCTGTGCATACTGGGAAGCATTCTGTTGGTGATTCACGCACCACAGGAACAGGAAGTCACATCACTACAGGAGATGACTGGCAAGCTGCTGGAGCCTGGTGAGAGGGCATGCTGGGAGAAGGTGCTGAAGCTTTGTTTGTTTGTCCCTTGACCTCTCTCTCTCTCTGTTTTCATGTGTTGTTTGGAAGAAAAAGTTTAAAGGGATAAAACAAAAAACTATTTGACCTGTGTCTACGAAGCGAGCTCATCTCAAAAGTCAGGCTCATGCTTAAAATCCCGTTTCAGTTTCTCCAAATTTGGTTCAATGAATGAGGCTCACCTGAAGCCCCGCCCATTCACTATGGTGACCCCTGCTCCAAGGCATGCTTAGGCTAGGTGAATATGAGAGGACAAGATATGTGATGTCACACATTACGGTCCTTCTTCTGTGATGGATGTTGGCGGTTTTCAGGGACTTCAGGGTCACGTAACTGACACGGACTCCTGGCGTTGCCATGGAAACATGTAATTGCTGAGCGTTGTAACAAATCTATTGAGCTTTAAACAAGCAGCTGATGATCCCTGATTTAGTTCTGATATCTTGTTGTCCTCGTAGGCGTGAAGTCATGATTCTTGCTCTGTCTGTTAGAAGAACAAGGCTCTTTCCTTTCCTCCCATTCTCTTTTATCTAGCATCGATTGGTCTGCCTGTGAGCCTCGCCTTTGGAACTGACAAATTCTGGAGTGAACTGGTACACTAATTCATTCAAGGCCTTTTCTAAAGAGTCGATTTTCTGAGCTCACTTAGTGGAACAGCCCTCTGTCCTGCATGTTTTCATTGTTTCTCTGCTCCAACACACCTGATTTCGCTCAACCTTTAAGAGGCAAGGCTTCAGCAGAGCTTTGTGAGCTGCTGAACAGGTGATTCAACCATTAGATCAGGTGTGTTGGAGCAGAGAACGAAAACCTGCAGGGTAGGAACCCTCCAGGAGCAGGACTCCCCACCCATCGTGTGTGTGTGTGTGTGTGTGTGTGTGTGTGTGTGTGTGTGTGTGTGTGTGTGTGTGTGTGTGTGTGTGTGTGTGTGTGTGTGTGTGTGTGTGTGTGTGTGTGTGTGTGTGTGTGTGTGTGTGTGGTTTAGGGTTCCTGGTCTACGCTGTGGCAGTGTTGCTTCTGTGTGTGGTGCTCGTTTTGTATTTCTGTCCTCGCTCTGGTCGCACCAACATCCTGATCTACATCAGCATCTGCTCTCTGCTGGGAGCCTTCACCGTCTCGTCAGTGAAGGGCCTCGCCATCGCCATCAACACAAGTGAGCTGCCACCATCAGTCACGGGCTTCACACTTCCTCCATCAATAAAGACCCGTTTAGTGTCCGAAGAGTTGGATTGTGGGTGATGTAAGAATCTCTGTTTCCTCAGTGGTTTATGATGTTTCCGTTCTGGCTCATCCTCTCTCCTGGATCCTGCTCCTCACCCTCATCGTCTCCATAGTAACACAGGTAGGCTTAAGTTCTCACCTAGTCTGATGGGGTTCCTGTCATTTACACATGATAATAATAATAATGATATTAATAATAATAATAATAAAATGTCCTCAAGGGCCATAAAACAAAATACAGCCCTTAAATAAAACTTAAAAATGTTTTTCACAACTGTAACTCATTTACAATGCATCAAGTGGCTGGTTTCAGTTTTAGGCTCCGCCTCCTCCATGTAAATGGATGAAACACATTGGAACTGCTGTTGGACAGAAATGAGAGCAGAAAGTAATAGATTCAATTTTGTATCTGTCTACCTCCCTGTCTGCCTGCCTCCTTCCCTCCCTGTCTGTCTGTCTGTCTGTCTTCCTCCCTCCCTGTCTGTCTGCCTCCTTCCCTCCCTGTCTGTCTGTCTGTCTGTCTTCCTCCCTGCCTGTCTGTCTGCCTGCCTGCAGGTGAACTACCTGAACAAGTCTCTGGACGCCTTCAACACCCTGCTGGTGTACCCCATCTACTACGTCCTCTTCACCTCAGTGGTTCTGTCCACCTCCATCATCCTCTTTCAGGAGTGGAGAGGCATGTCAGCCGTGGACATCATCACCACGCTGAGCGCCTTCCTGGTCATTGTGGTGGGCGTGGCCATGCTGCACCTGTTCAAGGACCTGCAGGTGCGCGTTCCCTCCGCCGTAATGTCACTTAGCAGATAAACAAAACTTACTCTAATAAAGATTACATTTTATGCAGCCTCACTGAGAATCCACCGTTTGATGTTTGCAATCCAGATTACGTTGAGTCAGGTGACCAATCAGCTGTCTCAGCCAGTGGAGAGGGAGGGGCTTACAGACAAGGTCACAGCCAGTGGAGGAGGAAGAGGGAGGAATATGAAGGAGGATAAATATGGACTGATGAACAACGAAGTGATACAGAGCCTTCCTCCGATGAGGGAGGAGGGGCCCAGAGTCTTCATCATCAGCTGAGGAGGAGGAGGAGGACTGTTACTTTAATCTTCAGCACTTTGTCAAACGTTCAGATCTGTATCAGTTATTTTCCAAATGGTAGTGATGGGATTTATGGCTCTTTCATGGGAGCCGTTCATTAGTCGGTCGTTTATCTCAAAGAGCCGTTCAAAAGACTGGCTCCTTTGAACGAAGTGAAGCCAAGAGAACGGGGCGGGGTGGGAGGAGGGGTATTAAGCGCAACGTGGTTCTGTGGTGTCCGTTAGGGTTCCTCCTACGTATGTCACAGCGGTGGGTGGGGTTTGAGCGGGTGCTCTTAACCAACTTCCGGGGCGGCTTGTTCCCGGAAGACGAGATGAATGGCTCTCTACGGGGACTCGGCTCTCATCGTTTACTTTGAAAACCCGTTCAAAATATTCAATTCGTTCGTGAACGTCACATCACTACCAAATGGAACAAAAACTTGATTTTATTTGATAAAACATCAAATTTTTCTTTATTTCAAGATCACATTTAAATTAAAAAAACAGTAAAACTGATTTAACCCTTTAAGCTCCAAAGTCGTAGCCTAGTGAACTAGACCAAATTCTTGCTTTGCAAAGTTTGGTCTAGGAACGCTCCACTGGAACCTCTGCAGCCCCAACAGCATTCTGGCTGGCCAATCACAGCTCTCTAGAGGAATTTCAAACACATAAAGAGCTGTGATTGGTCCATAATGGTGGGCCAATCATCAGGGGCGGATTTAGCAATTTGGGGGCCCAAGGCGAACACAGACATGGGGCCCCTTACACTAAATTTTCGACAGTCTTACCTTTAACTGGATTTGCGAAACTTTCCCCTCTTCTGACATGAGTTATTTTCCCTTTTTATTAGTCCTCCTCTTTTTTCCTGTATTTCCTTCCCTTTGAGCGCCTTCAATATTTGCTCTGCTTTCTTCTTCCTGTCAGCGCTCCTGTGCTTTAGCCTTAGTTATTTTTTTTTCTATTTTCCATTTTGGTCTATGTTTTCCTCCCTTTAAACATTTTCCATTGTCTTTCCTTTCTGCTTCCTTTTGATGTTTACATCGAGAAACGACTTCAGAAGTGAAAATAAAAGCTTTTATGAAGCACACAGCTTCTTTCTCTTATTGGAGCCACTAGGATAACTCCATTTCATGCTTAATGTTTTGACTATCGCTTGGAGTTTGTTACGAACGCTCCCGCCTCTCTTCTTATTCTTATTTGTGGTCTTATTGGCAAACAACAATTTGGTGCATTACCGCCACCAACTGGATTGGAGTGGAATGACTACCAATCACTTCCAGTTTGTGCATCGCCGTCTTACTAACCCTCTTATGACCATAATTAAAACAGGGCCGCCTGGTATGTTTAGCCGCCTGGCTAAAGACCAATCTTACGGCTGTAAAATTGTAATAAAAAGTGCAAAGTGTGTGTAACTCTTCTCCTTTTTTCAGAACAACCTCAGCTTTCAGTGTATGGTTTGTATTTCCAAACCAGTATAACATTTCACGAAAAGAAACGTGAAGCCACTTCTCCTCCAGCTTCACTGGCTGCCAGTCAACTTCAGGGTTCATTTCATAATCCTGGTTCTGGTCTATAGGGCCTTACATGGACAAGCACCATCTTACATTGGTGATCTTCTCAGTCCCTACACCCCCAGCAGGTCCCTGAGGTCCAGTGACCAAAGCCTACTGGTTGTGCAGCACCAGGCTAAAGACCAAAGGTGACAGATCATCTGCTGCTGTGGCCCCCAGACTCTGGAACTCTCTCCCCCTGAGCCTGAGATCAGTGGACTCAGTGGACTCCTTTAAAAAGCAGCTCAAGACTCACTTGTTCAAGCTGGCTTTTGAATGACCTTCTTCACCACTCTCTCTTTATTCTGCTCTCCCCACCTATAGAGCTCCGGGAGTTGACGTCACTTCTCCCGGCATGCAACAGTTCAAATCGAAACGGCGCCATATTGGCATGCAGAAGCCGGCAGCTGGACTATTTGTTATTGTCAGAAAACTCAATCAAACGGGAAATATGGTAGATTCCTGTTGTGCCCCAGGATGCAGAACAGACGCGGACGACATAAGGAATGAGCCATCTACAGGATTCCCCAAGATCCGGAGCGCCGCAAACGTTGGATGATTGTAATAAAACGCGCTAGTGACCGGGCTAAAATGAAGCTGTGGGATCCCGAGAGTAAAGGTTTTCGCCTATGCAGCGACCACTTCATATCAGGTACTTAAACCAACGTTTCCTCAACTGTGTGTGGTATTTATTTTAAATGTTTTTATTATGATTCTTAGTGGGCTTCCTAAACTTATTTTGGCGTGACTTTTTCTGTCTTATTACTCATAGCGGCAAGTAAACATCACGTAAAACGTTGCCGTGAGTTCTGCGTGCTGCCGTTTACGTGTTTTATGATCACAGCAATTAACGGCTAAGATGTATTTAATTTTTAAGCAATGGTTGATCAATTGTCAGATCACACATAAAAAGCACTTTGGATTGCTATTATCGGTCTCACCGAGACTGCTTACGTGTAAATCTGTTATTTGTCCGTCCATCCATCCATTTTCATCCGCGTATCCGGAGTCGGGTTGCGGGGGCAGTAGCGTGACTTCCCTCTCCCCAGCCGCCGGAGCCAGCTCCTCCGGGTAAATCCCAAGGGGTTCCCCGGTCAGATCCGGTGTTGTGCCGGTAAGAAGTCCGCTCCGACAGCTTCTGGCGTTTTTAAAAAGTATCCCAGGGGCACGGTAAGGGTCGGAGATGTTTAGTCTATTTAATTTCTGACTATATAAAACGATTTCTTCTGTTTTAAAGTGTGAAGTAAACTCCGACGAAGTAAAATCCAAGCGGATCCTGTTCATGTGCATGGTTACATCCGTGTTTGTTTACCTTTTTTGCATGCCAAAATGGCGTCCACTAACTGAGAGTCACGTGGGGTCCGGAGCTCTATTCCACCTTCCTCAGGATCCACTGATTTCCCTCTTTCCTATTCACTCTCTCTCTTTCTTAACATTTTTTCTTTTAAATCCCAATTACCTATTTTTGCTCATTTTACATATATTTTTAAACATTTTCTAAATGCGTTTTTATATTTATATTTTTGTTTTTGTGAAGCGCCTCGTGATTTTTATCTTGAGGTGCTATAGAAATGATATTTTCTTCTTCATCTTCTTCTATTTAGAATTTATTTCTATTACAGTCTTTAAAAACTCAGCTTAAAAGTGAAAAAAGCAAAAAACGGATTTGATTTTTTTACAGTTATTACTGAACAGGAACTTCAAAATTACTGGGCAAACAATTTAAACTTTGAACTGAAATGCATCTATTCTTAAAAAAGTTTGAACCTTGGTGTCTTGTAGCAGTTTTTAAGACTTTATTTTTGTAAACTTTCAGACGTTTTTATTTGATGGTAGACCTTTAAGCAGTTACTCTCCAGCTGCAGGCAGAGTCCTGCACACCTCACACCGCCATGGGGTGCTTCTCTTGCACAACGTGCACTGCTGTACCAAAAACTTTTGTTTTAGCAAAAATAATTATTTATGGTAAAAGGATAAATAATGCTGGAATGAAGCTGAATCTTACAGTTAGCAAATAGTTGAGGGTTGTTCAAATAAAAAAATAAAGACTGAACAAATGTTCATATCCTGGTTCACCGGAGATCTGTCCTTCTGGGTCACTGTCTTCAGATATAAGCCTTCTGGGACACCTAATAAATCGTGTTGATTTTCTTTGAGGCATTTCCATAATTTCATGTTGGTTTTTATGCTTTTTAGCTTCCCTGTCCCGTTATCCGCTTTCACCGCGGCGCTGCGCTCCGTTTCAATCAGGCTGTACAGCAGGATTTCCCCGTAGCGATATTATATGAGGCCAGAACAGTCTCAATAAGAATTAAGTCACACAACGTTTTCCACAAATGCACACGTTCTTTCGGAAATCCACATTCTGTGTTTCACAAATATAATTCGGAGGAACACAAATGCACACGCACATTCGGAAATTCACACTCTTTGACTCATAAAAATAATGTGAAAAAATAAGTCACGCAACATTTTACACAAATGCACACGCTAATTCTGAAGTTCACACTCTGTGGTTCACAAATATAATTTGTAAGAACACTTGTAATATAAACTCAGATCATACGAATTGCTGAATGTGCATTTACGAACAGCTTCTCATTTGTAAACCTTTCTGCGTTTGTGAGAGAAATCGGTGTGCTGAATTTTGAGACTCTCCTAGCGTCGCAGGTCAACAAACGTCACCATTGGCTAATTAACCTGTCAATCAAATATATGCTTCTGCCAGGGCTGTTCGCTTTCAGCCAATCATATGGCTCCTTATGTTACAGAACAGATCTGCTGTGCGCATAAGTCAGACACAATTTCCTACATGTGTAGCTCGGGGGTGACGATGGATGAAGATATCGCGTTAGCGTTCACACTTGTTTAATTTTCAGTTTTAATTCTGGTGCCTGTTAGCAGCTGAAACACATCCTCACGTGCTTGTGGATATCATATGTCGAATATGAAAACATGACTGTAATAATAAGTAAAGGTTATCAGCTGTAGCTTCAGTGTGCTCATAGGAAACGTGACAAAAGAACACAAAACACATTTCTCTTTATGGCCTATATAGTTGTCATCATTAACGTTACATGATTTACAGAATACATGTGACCAACTATCATTTCATGTTCTACCACCGGATGTTTGGATCAAAATATGAACCGATCAGATCTTAGATCAGGTGAGAGCCAGGCGTTTCCCGTCATGCCCAAGGTTTTGCAGCCAAGGGAGAACGACTGCAGCGCCTTGCTCCAAAATCTGCGGCCGCCTTGATCTCAAATGGTTATCGTTGCCTACGTATGCATGATGTCAGAGCAAGTCGGCGTCAAGTCGGACACAAATCTAACCGGTTACATTACATTACCAACGCTCCACCCTATGGGTGGCCTCTTAATAATCTTATTCAGAAAATTTATGCATTTTTACTAAGTGAAAGTAAACCCCGTTAGGGGCAGAGACCTCTTGAAGCTCATATTAAACATTGTCTGCAGTGAAGGTAAGAGAAGCTAGTAAATCATCAGGCCTATTCCATGGGAGTGACTCTGAAAAGGAGCAAAAGCTCCAGCTCTTTATCTTGGCAGGTATCTCTATTCTCCTGAGTTCAGGCTTTTGGTTACATCAGTTACTTTTCCTGTTAATGAGCTGCATA